GGACTGAATGAAGTGTGTCTGCCTCGGCTTTGTGCTGGTCCAGTTATAAGAGACGTGATGTTTGTAATGTAATCACAGCTGAGGGCTCACACTAGTGCGACTGACTGCAGGTAAACAGTGCTTCACTTTGCTCTGATGTATTTTGCCTATCTTGACTTTCTAGAACTTAAATGCATGTTGCTCAGTAAGTTAGTTAAAGTTATCTGTTTAATGTGATCTTGTCGTCCTGACTAAGTGACGTGCCCTGGGGTTACATAGGTTGTCAACTGGCCCTGTACAAATAAAACAGATTTAAATGAATTGAAGTTATTGTTAAACCTTTCAGACCCTGAATAGAAATCAGATCAAACCTTCTGAGTTAAAGTCTGAGAACCCGTGTTGTACTTCCAGACTTGGCTCCACAGACATGGTGGACGTGATACATACCTCTGCAGCACCTCTCTGTAAGAATCCACTTGCTGTGTGACTTCTGTGCTTCTGAGCTGCATTGCCTGAACTTTTTCTCTGAGCCCACTCATCACTCCTGCTTCCACAAAGTCCACCAGCAGAGGGTCCAAATGCCTCAGCTCCTCTAAAGCAGCTATGGAGCCCTTCTGCTGGGCAGAAAGTTCTTCCAGTTCCCGCTCACAGTCTGTCTGGTTCTCAAGCTCCACTCCCGAGCGGACTCTCTGGAGCAGAGCTTCAGCAGAGTCCAGCCATTTCTGCATGGACTGCAGTGATGAGTGGAGCCTCTGGACCAGGGAAAGAGCTCGATCCACAGCCAGCTACAACATGCAGAACGGAACTGGATTAACTTCAGTTCTTCGTCTTACTTCAGTCATTACAACAAGTCGTGTCTGCTAAAGGGAAAACATGTCCTGCTGTAGAAACTTTACTGGGCCAGAACTTCACTGTAGGTTCTGACATGAGGATTTCCAAATGTTCAAATTTGATGTTTTTTTAAAATAAGTGGTGTTTCCTCCTTTGTATTGTAAAAAAAGAAAAAAGGAATATAGCATTTAAACAGTAAATCAATCAATCAATCAATAATCAATCAATAAACAGTAAATCCCCATAACAGCTATAATGATTGATAATGTACTTATACAGACGTATCTATTTAAATCTGACAGCATGTCTTCACCTGTGTTTTGAATGTTTCAGCTCGTATAATAAAATGCGACTCCACTATACTAGTGGCTGGTGCAGAACAATGACTGAATGATATCTATAACACGTACCTGTGTTGCACCGATGTCTTGTTGAACTTCAGCTCCCAGCTTTCCCAGCTCGTCTAGCTTCTCATCTACATGGGCAGGAACAGTTTCTCTCTTACATTCATGCTTTTGCTTTTCTCTGTTACCCAAGAACTCAACCAGCCTCAACCTGCTTTTCACTTCATCGTCCAGGATTTTCAGTTTCCGTGCTTCCTCCTGGATCCGCTCGATTTTGACCTCTGAGAAGGTCAACGGTTCCTTCAGCTTGTCCTTGATAGTCTTCAACCAGTGAGGCATTTCCTCGGCGTCTCCTGTGAAACTGTCCTGCTTTGTGGCTGTCATTTCACTTTCTTCAACAAAACGCCTGACATCACACCGTAAAGCCTGCAACGCTCTGAGCTGGAGCGCAGTCTCCTGGAAAGCAGCAGCATCAAACTTCACATCAAGCTTTTGTGTGCGTTTGGTACATTCTTCAGCCTGAGAGGTCACTTCATCCAGACTTCCCAACAGCGAATAAAGACTTGTGATTCTATCTGTGGCACTTAGATCTTTGTTCACCTTCAGTCGGACCAGCTTCTCTTTACCAGACTTTAACTCTGAGTCTAACTGAGATAATACTCTGTGGTGTTCAGTCAGGATTTTCAAGCAATCAATGAGGTGTTTAATCTTCTCATCAGTTCTTCTCTTCAGTGTGTTTTGGAGGCTGAGGAGCTGCTGTGTCTCTTCAGCTCTGTACTGTTGACCTCTACTGAGAAGCCCCTCATTTTTTCCATGAATTTCTCTCACAGCAGGACTAATGTGGAGCAAACTTTCACTAATATTTCTGTATTCATTAATTATTCTAACAACTTCCTCCTCTCTAATACTGATAGTCTGCTTCTCCAGATTGTCAAACTGCTCCTGAAGCTCCTCCAGTGCATTATGAGTAATATCAAAGAAAGTGCTGAACTCTTTTCTCTCTAAGATCATCTGTTGGACTCTGTCTTTCTTCTCTTTGGCTAGAGCTAGGATGGCATTGTACTGCTGAGGCAGGGCATTGAGCCGCTCATCCAGGTAGCAATGGTCAATCTCATTCAGAGTCGGGAGGATCTCCTGACCTATTCTCTGGACGATAAGAAGGAGGTTCTCATACTCTGAGGCTTGTTCTAGGACCTTCTGAAAGTTAGACAGCTGTGTCTGTAAGTCTGAGCTATCGTCAGCACCACTTAAATTGATTTCAGGGAAGGTTATGGCGTCCGCTCGTCTCAGCCAGTGGCAAGTCTTGTCCAGGTCAACCTGGAAGTACTTCCTGGAGGTCAAGGCTTTCTCTAAGGCTGTGAGACGCTGGGTGGTCCTTTGTAGGGCAGTTTCAAAGGCAGCCTGTAGCTCCTCCAGTCTCGCCAGGGTTTCTGCTCTCTCTTTCTCAGTGGCATCTCTCTCCAGCTCTCGCCCTTGTACCCAGAGAGACGCCAGCTCCCTCTGGTAAGCTCGTAGGCCACTCTGGACACCCCGACATGCAGCAACCTGTTTGGCCAGGTCCTCGGGAAGAAGTGCGATGTGGTCATCTATCAAAGCCTTCCTCTCCTGTTGCTGTACCCAGGACAGCGCTCTCCCAAGGCCTTGAAGGAACTGTGTCCTCTCTGTGAAGGCCTGGAGAGGAAGAATTAAACATTACAGATGATTTACAGAAGAACTTAGCAGCACACGTTCAGTCATAGAGTGATTTTCAGCATCTTTCTTGGGATACCTGGTTTCTTTTTTCACTAACAGATCAGAATTAAGTGTGTCCCTTTTGGGTATAATTAAAATTTTACTTGCATCCAATTCAAAGTAGCAGCTGTTTACCTTACTGAGGTACTTCCTCCTTTGGGCAACCCGAGCCCCGAGAGCCTCCACTTCAGTCTGGGCTTGTTCAACAAGTTCCTGGAGGCACCTCTTCTCACTCAGCCCCAGCCTTGACGCTACAGCTTGAGCTTCGCTCACCGCCTGACCAAGCAGCTGCTGACGGGCCTCAAGTTCTACACACACGCTCAGGTGGTCAAACAGGAAACTCTGGGCCAGATCAGGAGGTGGGCTGGATTTCAGGGCAGAGGTGAAGGCAGGCCGCTGTTCCTCCACCCACTCTCTGGCATCTCTTAGCTGGGTTTCCACTCGGGCAAGATCCTCTAGTGTCTGTGCAGAGTCCTGGATCTTCTGCTGAATCAGAGTCTCGAGCTGGGCCCAGCGCTGCTCCAGGTGACCCACCTGGTGAAATGCAAAATAGTGTCATAAAAATCCAAACCAAATACACCAACATTATTTTTAGCTGAAGTTTCTGACCATCTCAACATATATTTTACCAAAAACGTTGCTGTTCTCACCTGCTGTTTGACCAGCTCCTTGTCTAGCAGGCTAAGCCGAGGTAGGATAGCTTGTCTCTGGTCCCTCAGGTCTTCTAGAGTGTCTCTCTGATCCTCAAGGTCACTGGCAAGCTTCCTCAGAGCCTCTAGATGCTCACTGGTACTCTCTGTGTTAGCCCTACGTACATACATGAGTGGCTTTAGTGACAAAGGTAGAGTTCTGTTCTGCTCTGTGCGTGTATACACAGCATAGTTAATTCTGCAAACACAGTCAGTACAACTCATACATCCGCTTGAAAATCAATGTACAGCATACTAGCAAAACAAACATTAATAATTAAACATCAGAGTGTCTGAGAAGAGCCTGGTACCTGGCCAGATAGTCCCATTCTCTGGACACTTGGTGGAAGAGCTCCTCCACAGCCACAACACTCTCATGGTACTCTCCACTTCGCTGCATGTCTTCCCCCCGCTGGGCCTCCAGCTCATCAGCCCGCTGGCCCAGGTCCATCCAGCTTCTTTTCAGTCTCCTTATGTCCTCCAGGGCAGGAGAGACCTGTCCATCCGTCAGCCTACTGACGGTGTCGTTTAAACGTGTCACCTCAGATTGTCTTTCCTTAATCTGCTGGAGGAACTCCTACAGGAACAACAACAGCACCACTTCACTTCTGTGAACAGTCTAAAACTTTGTCTAGACAATGGCATTGAATTGTTCCTCTTAGATTAAGAGTGTGTTCCTCTGTGAAACAAACAGTCCAGAGCATGCTTAGCAAACAGACCTGTGCCTTGTCCAGCTGGTTCTGAGCTATCTTGGGCTCTAGCTCTGCAGGTCTCCTGGTGAGGTTCTGAAGTTGCTGCTCTGTCTCTCTTAGCTGGGTCTCCAGATCTGCCTTCTGCTCCTCGATGTCCCTCCAGCTGTCTGCTAGCTCTTCACAAAGAAGCATACGCTCCTCAATCTGACACGAGGATAAAGTGGAGTCAGTTCACGACCAGGTATGTGGTCAACTGAAGTATTAACGTTAAAAGCAAAACCCCCGACGACTACAGCTACAAACATGAAGCTGTGTCTTTTGTTTAGAGGCTTCTTGAAGTGAACCGACCTGCAGTTTGACCTGCTGGATGGCTGCTGCAGTCCCTCTGACCCTCGGCTCAGACAGGTCACATGTGGAACACACCAGCTGGAGGTATGTGCTGGCCTGTTCCTGAAGAGCCCGCTCCTGCTTCACCTGTTTGTTAAATGTGTTTTTGTTCTGCTTATTGACTGATCGTAGGACATCTTTATGATAATCTGCAAAACCTGTTCTCTGCCCACATGCTGACCCCACATTAAAACAATCATACAGACTGAGAATGATATATGACAGTCAGGTACATAAAAACCTGTTCATTAATTCAAGATGTAATGACATATTTAAAAGAAATAAAGACAAGCAACTAAACAATTATGACACCAAAATGTTGTGAACTGGTAAAGTGGATTGAGGAGCAGTTGGGGGCCTGCTGACCTGCTGTAGAGCCTCCTCCAGGCTGAGAGAAGGATGTAAAGGAGGCACTGGCTCTTCTGAAGCAGAGTTCAGCCACGTCCGGCACTGCTGCAGCGTGTCCTGCAGACTCACATGTCTCTGTAACTCATGGTCCAGACTCTGATATACCTGTAAGGTAGAGGAGGAGAAGTGTTAGTGAAGTGTAAGTGTTTTCTATCAATAGCAGCAGAATGCTCACAATGAGCTGAAGGAACAATACATTACACTGTTGGTAGAGGGCACAATGCATGGCTCTGAAGCCAAACAATGGCCCAACACAAAGACACATTAAATGATAAAACCTGAACAAGCAGGCAGCTATGCAGTGTTCCATTTAACAGGTGTTGAATGTGGAGGCGTCCATGGCCTCCTGAGGAGAGCGAAACAGCAAGGTCTGATTGACAGCGTTAATATGAGAGCCCGAAAGAGAGGAGTAAGGGGGGCAAGTGCTGGCAAACTGCCCAGCGTATTTGGCAAAGGCTATAAGGCTGGCATGGTGGCAAGTGGCAGGCAGGATATTAGAGCTGTGTTGCGCTGGGACGCAGTTGGCAGCCATCGTAACACTGGAGGCGCAGTTGTAGGGAAGCCAGCAGTGTAGTGGTAAAGTGTGGCTGGATCACACAATGCCAGATTGGATGTGCGAGTGGTGGTGGAGGTGGTGTCTGGGGAGGTGAGCTATGATGACAGACTAGAGGTTGCCAAAATGACAGAGTGGGGCTGGATTATAGGGCTCGCCAGATCTACTGAATAGTGGCGTGTGACCATTTTTGGCTCAGACATAAAAAAGTGGCGTTGACAGGGGATATGTGGAGATTAATACGGGGAGATTGAGTTAGTGATTTTGGCTGGTGGGCTCTGTCTGAGTATGGCTGCTGTTGAGCTCCACTTTGGCAGCCTTAATTGGTTGTGCCCTCTACGCTGGCAGTGAAGGGCTGTTTTAAGAGACGGGTTTAAGTGTCAGAACGGGTTAGGATTAAGTGGATGCCGAGGATGTTGGAATATTAACAGCATTTATATGCAGACTGTATGTATCTATGCATGCATGTGTAGTCACATGCACATCAATGCACGTGTGTGTGAGCATGTGCATGCATCCAATGCACCAACACGTCTCACATGACGAATATGTACGAACCATCTCAATTATTTAAACAGAATTTATGTCTTTCTCAGCTTCCAACAACCACCTCCCTCCTCCTCCTCCTCCTCCTCGTCTGCATTCCCTCCCTCCCCCTCTCCATCTCCTCCTCCTCACTCACTCTCTGTGCTGTGCTACAGATGGCAGAGTAGCTGTCTCTGGTGCCTTGCTGGTGAGCCTGGACCTGCTGTCTCAGCCTGCTCTGCACACGGTCACTGCAGCCTTGTACCAGGTGGTCTCCTCGCTCTTTTAGGCCTGCCAAGCGATCCTCAAAGCCTGCAATTTCCTCCATGATGGCCTGTGGAGGATAAAGCAACCAAGTAGAATCATATTGGAGAGCGTCTCCAGTGGAGATGTGATACAGGACGAGTCTGTTCCGTGGTTAGTGACACAGGAGGTCAGAGCAAACTGACAGCACACATGGCATTAGTCTGGCCTGATTGGACCAACTTGAAAGAGAGTGACAGAAAAAGAGAAGTTCATCTTCAGAGGACAGCAGGTCTGTACATGAGGACTCAGCGAGTCTGCTTTCCTACATACTGTCTGTTAAAGACTGAGGCTGAACCCACTGATAGAGAACATTTGATCAAAATTCTGCATTGTTTGTTCAAATATAAAATCAATTACTTCTACTGAGTCTAAACACCATATAGCTGTAATTGTATACAATCAAATATCAAGCACTATATGTGTCACTCATGACAAAATCAGTTTAACTAGCTGATTTAATAACATTCATGTCAGCAGCAGAGTAATATTTAGGATTCATAACTTTGGGTTCCCCAGGATTTGTGATGCACGTTATGTGTGTTGAGCAAACAGCAACCACAGCACGCTAAGTCTGGCAACACGCAGCCACACTCGTCCAAACAACAGTGACATCGACAGCCAGACAACACCCAGCTCACAAACCTCCGAGCTGCTGAAGGTTGAATATGTGGCATTTCCTTGAGAATCAAAGTGGAGAGCAGAAGTGGGCATGTTTCCTCTGCACTGGATTCATCATGTAATCGATCTATTAAAGGCTCATTGCTCAGCTACAAACATGGCAAAAGTGAACTACTGTGTCTGGTCACCTTGTGCCTGGCCAGTTGTTGAGTGGCTGCCTCCAGGCTGCCGCTCACGCTGGGATCAGGAGTCACCATCCTGCTGGACATCTGCAGCAGCCAGCGCTCCACTTCCTGGAGCTCGTTGTGGTAAAGCTCCTGTTCCTTCACCTGCCCCTCCAGATTCTCTACATGGCCCTGAGCACACAAATCACACAAACAAATATCACCATCTTCCTGACTTCTGCCTTTTGTCTATGTACAGTTTATTATAAAAATGCTAACTGTCATGCATGGAGAGAACATTCATCTGAGCACAGGTTCCTACCATGGCAGCGTTACAGAGCACGGTGTAGTCTTTTTGCAGTCTGTTCATTTTATCTCTGATGGAGGGGTAGTGGACGGAAGCCAGCAGAGCATCTCCCTTCTCCACCACTGATCTGATGGAGCCATCATGGGACTGAATCATCTGCAGCAGAGCCTGAGGACACAGACAGGCACCTTGTATCCTTAGTATCCTCTAAGACCATCCCTGAGACAGTCCAGTCTGTTAGGCGGAGTTAGATGTTAAGCAGCTTTTTTTCTGTAATTCACTACCAGTGACTTCTACTCTAATGCTAATCATTTTCTAAAGTGTCCAAAAGGAATTTGTTAGAATAAAAAATAAGTGTGTAAAGTATATTCAGTTTCAGAGTGAATGGACATGCAGTGTCACCGATGCCATCAGTTCAGTTGATTATATTCAGCACCATTCTGCTGCCTGTTGAATTCACTGAGCGTGGCATTAACGCAGGGCTCTACATCTAATGTTGCTGCTATACCTTATACTTAGCCAGCTGTGCTCTCCGTTGGTACAGTTCAGCCTTGGGCTCCACTGGAGTGCTGAGCAAAGCCCTGGTCTCCACCAGCCACTGAGCCTGAGCCTTGTACCGGTCCTGGAACTCCTTAGCGAGCAGTAATGCCCGCTCCAGGAAGCTGCGCTCCTGCCTAAGTCCCCCCGCTAGCTCCTCCAGCTGGGCAAGGCATGCCTCGACCTCTCCTCCTAAACTTTCAGCTCCAGCCTCGTTCAGGAAGCCGGCTGCCTGCTCGGCACGCTCCCTCAGGGATTTCAGGAAGCTGTGGCCATGCTGGAGCTCCGACTGGAGATTCTGGGTGAAGGAGAGAGCAAACATACGGATCAGCGTTGGTGTTGCTACAGTGCTATCACCATTCATTTATACTAAATTATCTTCACCCAGGGCTCCGTCGAGTTAAAGAAAGATGGGTAAAGACGGCCTTTCTGCACACACGGTCAAGGATAAAGAAATATATTCATATCATGGTTTCAATGGCTTTGAGGGTAACATTCAACACAGCATCAACACCGGCTTCTTTGTCCTTCACCTCAAGTGCTGCCCCTGCTACACACACCATCCTGGCAGTGTGTTTGAAGGGCTTTGAACCCATCAGGTAAGCTGACACCTGCATGGTGAGATGTGGAGAAGACTGAGAGGTCACGGCGTGGTGAAACCACAGTGAATAATATGAAAGGAGGACCCAATTATAAGGACCCTTAACAGGCTCCAGTAGCTGCAGGGGTTTCCAGGGCAACCAAAACATACCACACACATGCACAGACCTTCACTCCATGGGATGCCATCTAGCTTTCATCATCAGTCTATTATTGCTTGAGTAGAGGGTAGCCTCACACTTCAACAACCCCAGATCTCCTGCTACTACTGTTGGTAATATAATATAACAAGACCTGGGCCCGTCTGCACACGTCCATTTTCAAGCTTAATGTCACACTTCAGGCTTGTTCAATATTCCAACAGTGTTCCTGCTTTATGAGTGTTAACGAGCAACTATAATTAGAACACCGCTGTGTGTTAAACGTGACCCAAAACAAGGACATCTGCAGTAATTGCAATGTGCAGTACTGTAGATTCAGTTCTGTATGACTCATTATCTCCACTTCATACTGAAAAAATCTGCTCTCACCTCATGCCTGAGATCCAGTTTCCTTCTTAGCAGCACCAATGGTTGTCTGTATGTTGAATTCAACTCACAAGATTTAGTTGGAACCAGCACATAGGAAGCTTTACATTAACAGCGCCCCAGAATCTAAGTCCCTAAAAAACCAAACATATCAGACCTTCTGATCATCTCTAATATACATTAAACATAATCAAAGCTGCATTCAGCATCTAATTGTTCCAGAAATGACAAACTAATATTACAGTGGACGTAACGGAGCCTCCACAGTTTGGTCTCTCCAACTGTTCTTGGATGAAAGAAGCTATCAAGGCTTTAAATGCGCTTTAGGTCAAACTGCGAAGGCACTGAGAGTACAGTCTGAGTGAACGTTATCTATGAGGTCCTAAACACGGGGCTCCCTTTGTGCCTTTCCTGAACCATGTCAGGCTTAATCATCCAAGACAAGATCCTTGTGCACCTGCTGTAAATGATTAGCAACAGAGATTCTGGATCTTATTCTGCACCAGCTCCTAGCTCCTCTATTGGCTGTGATGTCTCTACTGTGTGGCTGACAACCACGTTGCATCTCCTAATGACAGAGGAAGGATATTGTTAAGGTGACCCTGCAAGGAGTTTATTAGTGTCTGCTTTGAATACTGCAGTGAACCTTCAGCACAGAGGCGTCACACTGCGTCCTGTAGCTGGACACGTTGGTCAAATGATGACCAGGCACATGTTACCGTCTTATTGGGTTGTATTTGTTCTAACAAAGAAGAAATGTAGGTTTTGGTGTAGTTTGCATCAGAAACCATCAGGGATGTCGAGAAGAAAAACGTCCTTGAACATTTATGGAGGGGTTAATAATGAGACCTTTTCTGTTTTGCATTCTGCACTGTTTCCATTGTTTTAGGAGCCAGTGAGGACGGTGCCTTTGGGAGCAATGTAGTCTAGACATCACTTTATAAAGTCAAACATGTAAAAAACAAACTAAAGCACAAAGATCACGCTGCAGCATCACAGCACATCAGGAGCTCCAGCACTGCTGTGTGACTCCTGTTTCTACAGTATCAGATGAAGTCCAAGTCCAACTAATGGCCCTTGACACAACTATTGACGACTGGTCTTTGTGTCAATGCATAATCATCCCAGCTCACTGAACAGCTCTGCAGCTCTCACTGCAGGAGAGGAGTAAGTGGCAGAGCCCGGGCGTGTTATCTGCAGTGCTGGAAGGACACATGTGGTGGCAGCATGTCTTCAGTCCCAATTCAGAGACACAGCATCGATCCCAGACAGGGATTACGGCAAAGATGACACCAGATGATGTATTGTAAATGTCTATGTGTGTGTCTGTGGATGCTTTTCTGGATGTGTGCGAGGAAGACAAAGAGAAATGAGCTATATGTGGCGATACGTAAAGAAGTGAAGTGGAAAAGATGTGTGAAACCACAGAGGACTTGTGGATTCCAGAGTTTGCTGCAGCTTGTTAGTTCGTACTTTGGATGGGTTTTGTGATATGAAACGAGTGTGTGTGTGTGTGTGTGTGTGTGTGTGTGTTGTGAAGCGGTAAGGGCACTGCATCAATTACAGTGTCTGTGCCAGCAGGCTCCTGACACCGGCGCTTCTTCATCCTCTTACTCACAGTGGGAGGTCTCTCCTGCTACTACGCTTCCTCTAAAGCAGCATCCGCTTTGTCTTCATAAAGAGCCGATCGATACACACACACTCATCCAATCCTCTACACACTCGATATGAGCTATGCCAAGCAAACCATAGTGGTGATTTTCTTATTGCTGCAGCTTGTGCATGTCTGAGCAGCATTACTTCCTCCTGATGCCAGTTTGACAAAAAGAACCACAAAGAGAAACCGTCAGAGTTTTGCCACGACAGTGATTTTCTTTTGGTGGAGCGTGCTATGCAAATATTCTATATGCACTGAATGCTGTGTAAGCTATACAGCCAGACCAAGCATATTGTAGCTGCCAAAGAAATCTGCACACTTCATATCGTATGTCGCTTGCAAGACGATATTTTTGCTGGCTTTGATTTTAGAGCCGCATGAGTTTGGGCTCAAATTCTTCTCCACAAGCGGAAGTCTTGCTAACTCATCAGTTTGCCATGGTAATAAGCCTGTGCTGATTTATTGCAACCTGTTCATGGGGGTGTCTGAGGCGCCTCACTGCACTTTCTATCCAAACGCCACAGTGACAAACGGAGGTGGAAAAATATGAGAGTGAAATTTAACTTCTAAAACCACAAAAATAAAAACAGTGCAGATTTAGCTCAACAGATCAATACCTCCAGTTTCTTCATCTTCTTCTCCATGGCAACCCGGTCCAGAGGTTCAGAAGTGTCCGTTACTATTGCAAAGCTTTTCTGAGTGGAGCTGAGCCACTCAGTGAAGGACATGCAGAGGTTTTCTGCCTCCTCAATGCTCCTCAGCTCCTCCTGTAGCTGCTTGATTGTGTCCTGAAAACAGATTGAATAAGAGGTCAGAAGAACAGTTGTCCTGATATGAGTGTTACGCTGCTAAAACCAGATGTAGTCAGGATCATTACTTCTTTACAAAAAAGAGAGACTGTTGCAGAACGATTTACTTTAAATAATGTGTGAAGCAAATCAAACATCAGTGCAGTTTGTTATTGGTTTGACTGGCAGCAGACCTCTCACATCCTGTATCTACAGTATATCTGACATATAACAGTCTGCACTGGTCTCCTATTCAGATGTTTTCATACAGGCTTAAAGGGTAACCAGCTTCCCTTCAGCAGCTGCTACCTTTCTACTTCAGAGTTTAGAATTATTGGAAAGACTCCTCAAAGTTTGATTGTACTTGGTCCCAGGAAAACAGAGGAAACACGGCCAGTATCTTTATCTTTTGAGGTGTGAGATGTGCCCCAGTGGTCCAACACTGGCCACCAAGGACCGCGAGCTCTCTGATCAGCCATCAAAAGAGAAAATATCTGTTTCCCCTCCTCTTTCATCTGCTCAGTGTCAGTAGCTTTACTACAAGGTGGAGTGGGGTTTTATGTTTTTGACGCATTATCCACTTGACTGAGATTTTGAGTCAATAACACCGTGAGGATGGAGAGGCTTCCTCACAGGTTTGACACATTATTCACTCAACTTGCAAATCCTGCAGTGAGAAGCTCCAATTAGCTGATAGTGCTGAGTGCACACCTTTCCAGACTAGACGGAGGTAACAGCTTCTCACCTCAAGCCCATATGGCCCCCACTTTGCGCAGTATAATTACAGGAATCCACGGTATGAGGGGGATGTTGTGTGTCTGCATACATGTGTGTTGGCATGGCTCTAAGTATATGCACGCTGGAGTCGACTGTAGCAGGGAAGGAAGGGTGTGGGTCGGACGGAGTCAGAAACAAAAGTGACGGAGTAAAGAGGAACAAACACACACGCTCAGATGTGTTACAGTGAAGGTGTAAAAAAATCAATGTAGTGCAGGCGAGGCTGTTCCACTCCTGGTGCGGGGTGTTAGATTGCCTTCTGTAGCGTTTAATTACAGCCTCAGCCCCAGACCAGAGGAGCCCCATTGATTTTCCTTTAGCCCCCCCAGAGGAGCAGACAAATAAAGAGGCTGGATCTGAGTAGACAGAGCAACACAGGCTGGGCTCACAGGGACAACTTTCAAAGCTGCTTCAGTGGCCTTGAACACAAACAAAGTGCACGCTCTCCTCGGACTAAATTCCACAGTGACAGAGTATAAGCATGTGTTCAAAGCCCACCGGGGACGTGAGCCAAAAGCAACGCGTGCTAACTCAGATTTTCTAATACGTACAACAGAGTTTGGAGCCTATAGCCGCCACATTACATTGTTTATGTTTTGTTATTTCTAACTCAAGTAGGTCTTGTGGAGGTAAATCTTTTGGCAGACAGGAAGTTGTGCTTGTCTGTATGAACTTCTTTGTCTTGACGACCAGAGTCATTGTTTAGCCATAATATAAATAATAGTGTCCCACATAGATGGTACAAAGGCTCAGTGAAGCAGCTACAGAAATGGGCCAATGTGGATTATACACTCTGCATGTCATAAAGAAATCCCAGTGTGTTATTCAGGATTTAAACAATCGTTTATAAATGTCACTGCTGTAGACAAGCGGGCATTCAGGAAAACGCAGTGAAGTGACTGTATCAATATTTAGGACACTGATGAAGGAAGGGTGAGTCAGCGGGTGTGATAAATCAGGTAAATCAGCTAAATCAGGTAAATCAGGTAAATCAGGTGAAACAGGTAAATCAGGTGAAACCGAGGGCATCTGGTGGATTGATGCAGAACAGCAGAAGAAATGCATCAACTGGAAAAGTGTGGATGTGGCCGTGAGAGGATGAATGTGCAGCTGGGACAGGAAATGTGGATTTACGTTACAGCTGCGAAGCAACAGTAATCCCACACAGAGCTACACCTGGTAATCAGCCAACGGGCCTCTGAAAATGTCAAAGGAAGAGCGATTTATTTTGCTTTACTGGTTCAGTCTTTACTGTCTCTAAATAAAGTGCTTTGATAGATTGAGTAGGTGTTCCTTACACCTGACTATATAGAACTTTGCATACAAACTTGGATCTTCCTCTGAACCAGCACACACACCGGGAACGTCATTCCAACACAAGCAAAGTTATGACAAATACATTTTTCCTAGCGTGCGAACCTGAATGTTGAGCAGCAGGGAGTGATAGCGGGCAGTGAGCTGGGTGGCAGTAACGCTGACACGGCTGCTGATGTAGGTTTCCTCCAGAACCTGCTGGGCCAGAGTTGAGAGGCCATCAACTTCTCCCTGCCGTGCAAGCACAGCCTCGAGACAGCCCTGATCAAGACAGACACAGACATGTGGATGAACTAACACCGTTTACACAAGTATCATCAACATGACACGTTTATAACTGCCTGCATTACGAGACAAAAGACTACATGCATGCAGGTAGAGGACAAAGGAAAGGAAATAAAAGGTCACATCACATACTCCAAGATGTGTGTGTGTGTGTGTGTGTGTGTGTGTGTGTGTGTGTGTGTGTGTGTTGCTCTACATACAAGGAAGGAAAGTACAGAGACTGTGTGACATTGTGGCCGGCAGGAAGCCTGCTCAGGAGGGAGGAGACCAAGTCGAGGAATATAACTGGATGTGTTACTGTTCAGAGAGACACGATGCTTCATAACTCACTCTGACAGGTAACCTCTTATCTCTGGCTTGTATACTGCTGTGGCTGAAATGTGAGGGAGTAAATGAGTGCTTTGTTTTGGGAGCTGTCTTCATGTGAATGACAGTCAAATGAGAAATCTGACTCTAAGGAGTTTTTACAGGATTTATCTAAAGCCACTTACAATCTTGTCGTTAGCACTTTGCTGCTTGCAGCCTGACGTTGGTATTAAAATCTGGATAAGCAGCATTTTCTTGGCATCTTTAGGCAAAAATTTCCTACTAGCTCATAAACATATTGAGATGTCAGTGGTCTGAGAGGAAATGAGACTTGTGCTCCTCCTGGCTTTGTTTTCAGGCTTCAGAGGATCCAGCCCATCAGACAGGACCGTAGCCAATCAAAGGGCTTTTCATTGATCACATGAGACAGTATAAATATCAACAAAGTCTGTGGTGAGAATGCAGCGTGGCGGTGCAACGGGTCAGACGGAGGACCCTCATTTGGGAGAGTGGGATTTGAATTGTGTGTGAAACCACAAATGAATATTGACATTTAGCCTGGATGTTATTAAAAAGCGGTGGAAGGGCTTAAATCAGAGACAGAGGAGGGAAGACCTGCAGCAGGCGGATGTACTTTTCAGATTGTGGTGGGCTTGTTTTGTTTTGTTTCTCTTCCTGGTCTAGATCTCTGTCTGAGCTGCCCTGAGTGAACCAGCCTCCTGCTCTCTGATAAAGCCTGTACAGCTGATAGATGGAGATTTCTGTCCACTGCAGCTTTAAGAAAAGATGAGCTGCTTGATGCTCGTCTTCCCGTCATGAATGTTGTATTAAAGTGGCCGTGTGGTGCAGAGCATAACGAAGTGGTATTGCTGACTGAAGGTATGTATCATGATGTGTGAAGACAAACTAAAGACATATTAACAGGAGGGATAACATACCGTCAGTAAATTGTAATTTAAGGTAAAGTTTGACATTTTGGGAAAAACATTTTTCTACTTTCTTGCCAGGATTTTGATGAAGTTTAATGTTTATATGCTACCGCCAGCAGCTGGCTAGCATAGCTTAGCATAAAGAATGGACAGAAGGTGTTATCTCTGTTGTCCAACAAGCTAAAGTTCTCCAGCCAGTTCTAACATTATATCTCAAAAGTTAAATAGACAACAAGCTGTATCTTATTTATTTAATCTACACTAAAACTGAAGTTTAAAAATGTCAGTTTGCTGTTTACTGAACCATTTCTCTGCTGGGACAAATAACTTAGAATAAGAGGACATTACAGTTTGTCCTCTGTTCATACTGTGTGTTGAGCTGTTGCAGCCGGAGTGCTGATGCCCGCTTCAGCGTTACAATATAAACAGATATGAAATAATCAGAGCAGATATCTTAAATGTACTTTTGCAGAAACCATGTGGTTCTCTGACCTGGAGTTTCTTCAGCTGACTCTGCTTGGTGGTTCTGTCGGACCTCCGATTACATCTGATATTCGCCACCTTCTCCATCTCCTCCAGCCACTGAGCCAGGTTGAGGAACCTATGGCCCATCTGCCTGAGGCGGGTCAGCGTGGAGCGCAGCTGGGCCTGAGTCTCCTCCAGGCGGCTCTGGTAAGCCCCCCACTCTCGCTGAGCAGTGTCCAGGGCTCGGTCCTCAATCTGAGGTATGCCCCAGGGGATGACTGTTTCTCTGCTCGTCAGCACAGATGAGAGCAGCGACTGGCCATTTGAGCAGTGTTCCTGCAGGATCTATGAAGGAAGCAAAATAAAGAAACTGTGTCAGTGAAAAGCAAATACAGTTGTGTGTACAGGTACAAGAGTACAGAATACTACTGCAACGCTTTCCCTGACATCTGTACACCTCCACTCACGATGACTGGACTGCACACTGAACTAGTACTACCTGTAGCTGTTGCAGTGCTTTCTCAAGTGTATCCACGTTTCCCTCTGGATGAGACAGCGAGGCCAGAGAGCCCTGCTCCTGCTCCAGCCAGTCCTCAAACACATGCAAGCCCCTTTGATATTCCTGATGGACCAGCACCAGCCCCTTGGCCTTACTAACTGCATTCTGCAAAACAGGAAGTTGTGGACAAGGATTGCTGATTCAGCATTACACAGGCGTTAAACACTGAATATTGCACAGGGACAATGTGTGTAAATGCATTTGAAAAAGAGAAAATTATTTTCAGCATACATACGTTAAAATGTTTAATACGTGTTTACACAAATGTTTCTGTGTGATTAGAGTTTTTGAAGAGAACTGTGAAGTAGGCATACAAAGAAAAACTCAGGAAGCAGTCGTTCATTCTTCAAACGTCTGCAGAGGAAGAACTAAAGAGCCACATGTTGTGCGTACGTACCTTGGCCTTCTCTTTGAGGGCGTTGTATCTGCAGTGAAGCTGCTGCACCTCTTGCTGGGTGGTGTAGTGCTCAGCCATGTTGGAACCCTTTGTGGCAATGGTCTCCAGAGGACTGCTGTGACTCAGGACTTCCTCATAGAGAAGCTGAAATGAGAACACATGCATCATAACTGGAAGCTCCGGCGTATAAACGTATGTGACCACATGAGTGTAATGTAGAGGAATCCATAAAAAAGGAATATTACACTTTTCTGGTGAAGAAAATAAAAACTGGAAAAACAAGGAAGCTGTTCTGTAAAAGTTATCCTAAAAACTCCAAGAAACACAATGCAGAAAACACATTCAAAAACTCATTAGTCATTGTTATTGAGGTGCGACACCTTGGTCTTCCCCAGGTTAGCCGTCTTGTCTCTCATCTCAGAGTACTGTCTGTCTGAGCAGCTGAGCGTCTCGTCCACCCGGTCCATCCACAGCACAAACTGATCCACGTCCTCCTGGTAGCTGGTCCACTGCGACAGAGCGCCTTCCAGCTGACTGTGACGATAAACATGGTGCACTTAATACAAAGGACAGACAAGCATGTGCAGAAACACACACAGGCATTGTAGACACGCAAACATTCAAATTGAATTGTCCATTTAACCTTTCAGCCCACTGAGATCCATCACCTGAAACCAGACAGTTCCCAGTCCCATTTATCAAAAGACTGACAGACCGATTGTCTCATGCTCACCTTTTGCACTGGATTGAGGCAGAAAGCAACAAGTCCCAAGAGTCCTTGAGGTCCTGGATCTGTTTACGAATTACTGGGACCCCCTCAGCCGAAGTGTTCCTCTGGACTGCTTCCCCCCGCGTCAGGAGCATCTTTAGCTGGATCTCCCTCTCCTGACGGGCAGCTAGTAAGGCCTACAGACACAACAGATAAAAACATAACTACATGAAGTGGAAAAGAAATATCCTCAGTTTGCTTTATCTGAACCATTAAAGGGATGCAACACGTCTATATCGTCCCAAAAACGCATACCAAGCATATTTACATCAAAATCATTTGGTTTAATGCACCATCCAAATCCTCTGTAACCCTATTAATCCAAACAGCTGATAGGCAGGTTTGAAAGGCATGTTAAAACAATCCAGGATGTACAAACAGAGGATGAGAATAAGGGACAGACATGGCAAAGTGTTTGAGTTGCTAAAAGACAACGATCTCACCGACAATCATGGTTTCCTTAAATGCACGGCGTGAAATGTGCTGCTGGGAGAAAAATCTGGCAGTCAGTGAAAACTGTGGCGCATCCCTTTAAAAGATCCGCCGCCCTTCTCGTCTGTCCTTACCTCGAGTTGTAGCATACGGTCCTCCAACACACTCTTGTCTGTCGTGGTGGAGATGCAGGTGTTGAGGACCCTCTGAGCCTCACACACCCAGTCCTGCAGCTCTTTAAGTCCTTGAGAGAAGAGCCGGTGTTCCCCTACGATGCGCTCAATCCTGGAAGCCTTGTCCTTCACATATTAAAACACAGCAACACACTCTTCAGATACTGGATTGGTTCTGACAAACAGGCCAGCACTGAGCTGAACACTTCTGTGCACAGAAACAGTGTCTTGGTTTTGTTCTGTTTGTGTTTGAAATGACAGTCTTGTTTTTCCTCACACTCGTCTCCAGAGACTCCTCCGCCCCCACATTACAACACAAGCGCAGTATATTTATTTGCAGCCATCAAGCGTACATGTTTAACATCTGTGTGACTGTGGAGTGGAAAAAGCACAGGCTGGAGTAACTAGTGGCAATTTTACATGACTTTTCCTGTTTCCATGTCTGGCAGGGAAGAAGACCTAAAAATAGCACTGCACTAGCTAGCCAGCAAAGTAAATAAATCCCATTCATCACTGCTGGGGTACTCTCATTGTCCTGAGGTATGAGGATGCTGCTCTGTGGTCAGTGTCATGCTTTGTTCTATAATATATCAAACTAATCATAAGAGTGTGCCCAATCTAATGAGAGCTTCAGAAAGGTCAGCTTCTTGAACACTGACACATTTCAGCTCTGACATTTCAGAAGTGCTTTAGTGGATAAAGGTAAGCCATACTGCCTTGGCCTTTTTATGGTGATGAAGCTGCAACCACAAGGACCTTTTGAAGGTGAGACAGATTACTGTGCTCAGGTAAATTACTCTGGATACCAGGACTTCCTTGGGTGCGATATTTTCATACCAGAGGTGAGCCGATCACAGAGACCATGACTAATGTGCAATTGGGGAATATTCATGAAGACAGTGAACAACGTGGCTGGACAGACAGCTCCAAAGTTTCCAAGCAAGGCACATTATGCATGCTGCAGCATTTCTGTGACAGAAGCACACATACGTTAAGGGGACGAGACGGGGGACGTGGTTACTGTGTGGGAGCAGCGTTACCTTGGTTAAGTTGCTGAGGGCTAGGTATTGTGCCGACAGCTGAGATACTCTGTGGACGAAGCCCTTGCCGGCTGCTTGTCCCTCCCAGAGACGATGAGCTCTTTCCCTCAGCCTGCCCAGCTCTACCTCTCGACTGGCCATCTCGTCCAGTACGCACTGGACCAGTACAAGGCAGGAGAAGGAGGAGATGGTGATGCAATAAGAGAGTGGGTGAGGTGGGAGTGTGGGGTGATGGTTGTGTGTAAGCACAGGAAAATGAAAGAACAACAAAATGAAGTGTTTTCATGACAGCGGAGGCGGAGGTGTGAGAGGAACAGAGGAGGGACACAGGGTCGAGTTAACATGTCACAGGTACAGACAGAGCACATCAACATACGTGGATAAAAACAGGAGAAAGAACATCATAAAACAAGCATCAGCAGTATTTCTCCTGATGTTCACTCTTTAATAGAAACGCTGTCATTCAGTTCCACAGCACAGACCGGGGAGCGGAGACGAGGCTGATGTAGAGGCGGGGGGTGTAGATGTGAAAGGGTAAGGAGGATTTTGCCAACACAGGTTCATACGCTGAAGACGACATGTATTGTATTGTACTTCAGATGTTCAGGGAAGAAATGTAATTGCTTGCAGGGCCAGACAAAAGGCAATGAGGATAAGTGCCTGAGCGGGCGACAGAGTAAATACAAAAATAGCAACAACGATAAGGGCAGAGCTTTGAGATGGGCCTGATATATTTTCTTCTCTTTTGTCAGTTTTATCTTTTTAACGCTTCGTGCCTCTCTTCCTTCTTGTCTCTGCCAGACATGGCAGCAGCTCTTATCTCATCCTGAAAAAAGAGCCTTTTAGCCACGCAGTGCTTCAGCTGTGACAGAAGGAGAAATAATTAGATTTCTGGACTTTTCCTCTGACTATTGTGTCAAGACGTTGCTCTATTTTGATCCAGTGGTGCTCGACAAATGTAATTAGGTCCTTTTTTTTCTCCCCACTGATTTGAAATTGTACTTCAGGGATCCATATCTGATGAAGGGCTAACTATTTAGTAACCTTGAAAAATCTACTTAATATTCAATTTATGGTGTAATGACAAGGTTTACTTGAGTGAGGAGAGGAAAGGAGTCAACGGCAGATGAGAAGAGAATATAAAAGGCACACTCTCTGTAACATCGTGTAGTTCAAGGAATGGATCCCACACTATGGACTAAACCGTCCTTGTGCAAAGTCTGTTGCTACAGGAGTGACAGTAAACACAGTCAGAACTAGCACACAGGTCCATGAATGATACCTGGAGTTTGCTGAGCTCCTGTCTCTTGGCTGGAAGGTCGTGGAGGCGAGCGCTGCTCTCCTGAACTCGGACCTCTGTGATGTTCAGCCAGTCCTGCAGAGGCTCAGCACTGGCCTCAAACTCTGTCATCTGGGCCTGCAGGTTCTGAAAATGCAGCACAAAACTTGTCACATTATGTGTATATAAACTGGTTCTGCACAAACCAACACAACTCAGTTTATTAGATAAAGTAAGCATTTTAATGTTAGATTAGAACCATTTATTATAATACGGTGTTGGGTAGAAGATGAACATTAAACTGACCTCTGTGTGCGTGTACCCTCTAGTATTTAGCATTTAGTTAATATTCATTCTCATATTATATGGTAAATCAAAGCAAATCAGTACTGCATCATGAATACGGCACACAGATGGACATACTTCATCCACACAGAGGCTCTGCATTCACATACGAAGCTAAACCACACAGCTGACCTGTTTTTAGCCATATGGTCTGACTGACATCCAGATTTTATTTCTCAAAGGAGACTTCAGCAAAGAAAACAGCATCCAAACAAAACTAAATGCAAACCAACCTTGAGTGCATCTTCTCTCATTTGCAGGTTATTCATCAGGCTCTTCCAGTCCTCCCGAGCATTCGCCACTTTGGCCTTGATTCCCTCCACTCGGTCTTTGGACACCACAGCCATCAGCAGCTCCCCACTGGCTCCTACTGTACTCAGCCTGGCCTGGCCATTCTCCCTGTCACTCAGGAACTCCTGAGGGGATACAAAGACAAAGGAGCTGTGACTATTTAACACAAACATGCACACAAAGGGAGGACGGTGTGAAAGTGAACAGAGAGAGAAAACGGGCTGAATGACAACTCACAACTTTTTTTTTTTTGCCTTTTGCTTGTGATGCAGTGGCTGATGGGTAACTGAAATCAATACAGACATTCTCTAATGGCTGACGGATTTTATTTCGGTGTCCCAGAATCTGACCAACACCATGAAAAGGAAGCAACAACAGTGGACCGAGTCCTCACGAACATGCATGGACAGAAGGAGGCTCCTGACCGACGGATGCATTTAAAGACGAGGAAGGAGAGCGATCCTGAAATGTGTTGGTTTTTACATCGCTCCTATGTACCCACCCACTGACAATGTACACACACACACACACACACACACACACACACACACACACACACATATGTAGTATGCACACACAGACATCCCTCCCTCAGAGCTGAGCTGATGACAGTAGCGCAGCAGGGACCACTCCACCATCTGTGCAGTCAGCACATCACTTACACACACTATAGCTTCAGCCTCTTATTCACACAC